GGTTAAATTACTCCGCAGAGTATCCAACACAATAACTAGTAAGTGACACTAAGTCCAGCAGCCACCGCGTCCATCCAAAAATGTGGCGGTAGCCATATTATATCAGATTTAAACAATATATGTACAGTTCAGAAGCAAACACAAAAACTTCAATATAAGTACAAGTATAGAAAGAATAACAATATACAATGATAAATTCTCAAATTGGAATCAAATAAAATACCAAAAATGTCAAGAAAAAAAGTCCATCATGTCATAGCAAAAATATGTAAACATGGAGGGATTTTCCAAAAACACAAAACATTCAAAAAGAATTATACATTACCTTCTATTTTATAGGTTCTTGGAGCAAAAAACTGCAAACGAACAACCAAGAGAAACGGGAGTCCAAAATGGCAGAAAATAATAATTCAAACAAGTTCATAAGTTAAGTAAAACAAATGTACCCAAAAAACGGTGAAATTAATGATATTTATATATAAAGGTTTTGATCAGCAAAATGTCTTCATTCCTCCCGTAACATATATATTTTTGTTATGACATGACGGACTCTTTCTGTTGACATTTTGGTATTTTATTTTATTCCAATTTGAGATTTTATCATTGTATATTGTTATTATTTCTATATTTTGTACTTATATTGAAGTTTTTATGTTTGCTTCTGAACTGTACATATGTTGTTTAAATTTGATATAATATGGCTACAGCCATATTTGGATTTGATACTGTTGCGGTTGGATCTAGCATCACTTATTCTTTTTGAACTCGGATACTCATCAGAGTAATTGGGACTTGGAAAGTGTATCAAAAGTCAGGTATTGGTTTGTATTTCGATTTTGACATAATATAGACCACTTTCTCCTAGAATTATTGTGTTCTGATATTGGACTAGGAGAGGGGTGCGTTCGACTTACACTTACTGGAAACAAATTGAACTGCTACGGTAGAAAATCCATCTACAATACTAATACTAAATACTAATTACAGACCCGTCACTGAGAAGATAAATAAATCCAGGGTAATGAATATGTTTGCTTGTGATTTCGCAGTGTCGTAAGAACATCGAAATGACATCAGGAAAGTGAGCGAAATTAAAGAGCCGCTACAGCAAACATGGCAGCAACACAAACAGGAAGTTGCGCATAAAGTGTTGTGAACAAACGTACCGTTAAAAGATCAGTGGTAGAATCGGTCATAATTATGGACGTTTCCACTGTACGGATTGTAAATGGATTTTCTGCTCTGACAGTTCACTCCGTCTCGAATTGTGTAGGTTGATACGCGATCATCCCCAGTCCAGGAAAAATCACGATAATTCTGGGAGAAGACGGTTCTATTAATCGATAAAAAGGAAATACAGACATTGCCAAAAGAATATTACACCTTCGAGTTCCAAATTACCGCGATGGGCATCCGTTTCTGGAAGAATAAGTACTTCCAGTCCGTTACTGTTAAAATATCAAATCCAAATATGGCTGTAGCCATATTATATCAAATTTAAACAACATATGTACAGTTCAGAAGCAAACATAAAAACTTCAATATAAGTACAAAATATAGAAATAATAACAATATACAATGATAAAATCTCAAAATGGAATCAAATAGAATACCAAAATGTCAACAGAAAGAGTCAGTCATATCATAACAAAAATATGTAAACATGGAGGGATTTTCCAAAAAACAAAACATTCAAAATAGATTCTACACGGATCGCGTTCTTTTCATAAAAGCGGATTCACTACAGCGTAAAACCGCAGCATATAATTGTTGCTGTGGGAACCCACAAAAAGGAAGAACATAGAGTTGCTGCCACAAGATTATGTTGTTTGCTATATATTTATTATTTTATTAGTACAAACGGAAGTGCTGTAACACTCTTGAAATCTTACTCTAAAAACTCTTAGTTTCGATTCTTTATTTCTGGATGCTGTCTATTGATTTCTCTATTAAATATAAGTGCATTCTGTGTGCTTACAGGGGTCTTCAGCTCAACTTTTTCTCTTCTTCCTTTCTCTTCCACATTACTTGGCACGCTGCTCCATAGATACCCCCATCACACAAGGCACCTCCTGGCTAAACGCAAACTAACAAAATGCTGAAGTAACCATGCCGCATTCGTCACTCTCCATGTTTATTTTACACAGCGATCATTTTCCCCCTTCCGTAACATTTATCCCTAGTTGCCTTGAGATGATTCACAATGATAACACCATAAATAGCGATTTTCATACTGTTACAACATGACCTTCACGGCTATTGGATAGTGTTTAGCCGAGCGCTGTTTGAAAACTTTGTTCCGATCGTGTTGTAGCTAATCGTCTAGTGCCAATACAGTAAGTATGGATCACAATACTTTGCAGAGTATATTCAGAAGGTAAGCAGTAGTATGGTATTTGTTGAGATATCTATAGAGTTGACAAGGATGGGAGTGGAAGTATTTCTGCTATGGAGTTGCAGTCCAGTCTCTCAAACGGTGAGCCCACTTAGCAATTTTCACGTAATGTTTTGTTTGTTTTTCCAAAATTGAATTCATAACACAGTAGTCATTAATAGCGTTTTGCTTGAAGCAAAATTTTCTAGGGCCTCTTGTTTTTGACATTTAATTGAATTAATGCCGAGCATTATCCTTGGAAATTGCATAAACAAATGAAATTCAGTGATAAAAATAGGTCAACCGTTATTCACCGTTTTATATTTACTACTTTCACGCACTTTTTACGTATTCTGATCACATTGCAAGATTACCCCCAAGCTAACTTTATCAATCAGTTTCCGGCACAACACTATAAGATTTAAGCATCGAAGATTCAAATTTAAAGTGATTGATCTGATTCTTACTATCTAAGAGGACTAGTCCAACCCATACGAAGGCTGAACCTCAATAGTTCGGAAAGGCAAGCTGAACCCAGACCTATCCTATTTCACCAGTGAAAATGGTTAGTAAAATGTTGTGCCTCTATAGTTAGCGACTCAAAGTCGTTAGCAATAAAAATAGGTAATCAGTAGATCACTGTTAATCCTTGTTGCTTGTTTCCTAGTGAGAATCTGGCTTCTTAAAAGTGTCCAGTAATGGAGAATTACATCAGTTGTAAGCAATGCTCCCGTTAGAATTGAGTGACACGTATGGGTAGCAAATCGACAGATGAAGTATTGTAACCATCAGTTGAGGTGGTTGGGGCATGTGTTGCGTATACCTGTTGTCGAAAGCTAGGGGCGGCCAGACCAAAACATGGCAGAAATCCATGAAACCACTGACAAGTGGACTGAGTCATGTCGGTAGGTGTCAACTACCTTGTTAGGGGCCCGCCAGATGTTAGTAATCGATGGTTAGAGACTCTGAATGACATGGTTTGGCAACATGAACTGATGTGCGTACGTACGTACGAAGTTATACGATGCTATTGATGGATTAACTAAAACATCCTCGATAATACTTAAACGTCTAATTAGAGCTCGTAAAGAGCAGACTCAAGAAAATCACATATTCACACTCCGACAGATTCTAGAACATAGACTTAAGTTGGCATTTGACTCTGTCGGTCTTGAGGTTCAACGGCAGTGTCTGTTACTCAAAGGTGTACCGAAAGAGTACGTGAATCATATACAGGCTCACTACTCAGACAGACAGATAGATACAACACAGAACTTCCTACGTATGTACATTAGTTCACGTTGCCATACCGCATTAGCACAGAGACGCAACTCAGTTCAAATCCAATATTGGTAGTGATAGTAGAAGTATTAGCAGTAATGCAGAAGATTAGGGTCTTATTCAGTGAGATAAAGTTAAGAAGAGAAAGATAGAGATGGTGAGTAATTCAGAACGTTAGAATTTGGGAGAACACAAAGAGTAGATGCACCTGCACCATTGCAAACGATTTTGAGCCATGTCGTTCAAGGTATCTAACCATTTGTGACTTTCGTCTCGCGAACCCCAACCAGGTAGCCTACATCTACCAACATGACTCAGTCCACTTGTCAGTGACTTCATGGGTTTATGCCATGTTTTGGTTTGGCCACCCCTATGGTTCTTCCAACCTACTCCTACACCACAAAACATAGCTCTTCGAGGCAGTCGGTGGTCAGGCAAACGTAACACGTGTCCCAACCACCTCAACTGATGAAGTTTCAATACTTTATCTATTGATTCGCCATCCCTATCTAGTACGCGTTCACTAACTATATCACCGCTTCTCGGCTGTCCCAGGCGCAAACTGCTGCGCGGTACGCTTGTCGTTTGGTTAGCAAAAGGATACCTCGCATGCGCCACAGGTGACGCAAGTCGACAAAAGCTAATCGAGCCTTCTCTGTCCGCGCCGAGATTTCGCCAGTCACCAGGACATCAGCACTGATGAGACTCCTCAGATACGTGAAGTGGTCTACACGTTCGACTACTTCACTCCCTATCACTAGTTCAGGTGCCGATGCAACCCAATCTTGAAGCAACATTTTACATTTCAAGGGGGAAAACCGCATCCCGAACATGCATTGTTGCTTAGGGTAGTCAGAAGACTGCATTTTGTCAGCGTCTTCACTGAATAGAACTATGTTATCAGCATATACTAAGTCAGTAAGCGTGGCTCATGGTAAAAGATCCACTACTGAAGAGTCAAACGACGATAATGTTAACTCGAGAAGCATATCGACAACAAAGTGAAATAAGGATGGGGAGATTGGACAGCCCTGACGGACACCACTTGAAGTAACTAATTTCGATGATAGTTCGCCATAAGCTCTCACTCGACCAGTGGTGTTCGAGTAGAACCTGTATAAGGTTAATGTACGTCTTTTGTACACCTTTCAATGACACACTGCCGCAGAACCTCACGATCAACAGAGTCGAATGCCGGTTTAAGGTCGAGAAATGCTACTATTGTGGGGCATCTTTACGAGTTTCTTTGTTCTAGGACCTGACGTAGTGTGAAAATGTGGTCTTTACCGCCATGTCCAGGTCTGAAACCAGCCTGGTTTTCTCTAGTCTGTACTTCACGAGTTTTCATTAAGCATCGGAGCATTATTGAGGCCAATATTTTAAATACTATATTAATTAAACTTATTCCTCTGTGATTCTCACAAAGGGACTTTTATCCTTTCTCGTAAATTGGGACAATCAGGGATTGAGACCAGTCAGATGGGAGTATGCCCAGTTCCCAGATTCTACTTAAGATCTCAGTCAGTTTAACTGTTAAAACTGGACCACCATCCTTAAAAAATCTCAAGGGTCAATCTATCAGGTCCTGCTACTCTCCATCGCTTCAGATTTCCTGTAGCTTTTTCAACTTCATAAAGATTCGGAGGGCTTACGTTGACTTGCCATTCAAGATGACTGGGGATCATAGGTAACCGGTGTGGCTGAAGGCCAGTTGAACTGACCCCTAGTGTTCTGCTCATTGATCCAATCTCCGGGATTGAGAATGAATAAAAGTTCCAGCCTTTTCTGAGATAGTTTCGCTAACAGATGGGTTTCTAACACCGGTTTCCTTGATAAGTCGGAAAGACTGTCGGCTGTTGCCAACCGCCGCTGCCTTTTCCATCTCTCTTGCTCTCGCCACCCACCACTGTTCTCGATCATTGCGTAGGCTTTTTATCAGCCTTCGCCTAAGCTGACTTCGCTCTTCATCATATTCAGAGCCAAGTGGGATGAGTTTTCGAGCATCCATCAGTTTGGTGGATGCGATTGAGATCCACAGCTTCTTCCTAGACTTATGGTTTACCTAGCTGGCATACATCAATGCTGTTTCCACAGCCTTTCTGATATCATTCCAAACTGCCACTGGATGGAGATCACTTACATGGTCGCCTAACTGTCTTTCCAGATGCTGCTGAAATATATTCTTAGCTTTATTATTATTATTAAGTAGAACCCTAACAGGTTTCCTTGCAGTGTCTTTCCTACGTCCGGTAAGTCGCAAACAAAAACGCACTAGTAAACGTGCTAGTAAATATCAACTTCCTTATTAAGCTTAAAGTATTCGATAAAAGGAGAAATTATCCGTATGTATGAGAAATAGTATTGCTTAGTTTCATAATATAAAAATATTCTTTCAATTACAACATACATTGAAATCATTGAATAAATTTTTCAAAACTTATTCCGTAATAATAAAAGGTTTAGGAACTTCATTCAACATTAGAACAATACAATTAATGATTGCCATGTTTGATCGTGATATGAATGGTACGATTGGTTTCAATGAATTTTGTAATCTATTCAAATATGTACAAGATTGGCAACGTTGTTTTCGACAATTCGATCGAGATAATTCTGGTTCCATTGATCATGCAGAATTTAGTAATGCGTTAAGACTTTTCGGCTATCGTTTATCATCAGAATTTATCAATCTTATGATAAGTCGTTTTGATCGTAATCGTCGAGGATCGATTGCATTCGATGATTTTATTTATGCATGTGTCTGTTTACAGGTAAGTAGTGTTATGTGAATGAATATATGTTGATATTCTTGTTCAAGTTGACATTATTATTATGATTATTATTATTATGTTAATGAATTTTCTTGTATTTCGTGGGACAATTGAGTAAGCAATGCTGTTGTTAGGAAACGAGTACTAGGTAGGGATGGCGAATCAATAGATGAAGTGGTGAAACTTCATCAGTTGAAATGGTTGGGACATGTGTTACGTTTGCCTGACTACCGACTGCCTCGACGAGCTCTGTTTTGTGGTGTAGGAGTAGGTTGGAAGAAAGTTAGGGGCAGCCAGACCAAAACATGGTGGAAATCCATGAAGTCACTGACAAGTGGACTGAGTCATGTTGGTAGATGTAGGCTACCTGGTTGGGGTTCGCGAGACGAAAGTCACCTATGGTTAGAGACTTTGAACGATATGGCTCAAAATCATTTGCAATGCCGCAAGTGCATCCATTCGTTGAGCTCTCTCAAATCCTAATCTTCTGGAATCGTCAGCACATCTACCTTTGTCTTTCTAACCTTATCTCACTGAACTATACTTCTTGAATAATATCTTCAACCCCTAGTCTTCTTCATTACCATGAATACCTCTACTATCTTTTTCACTATGGGATTTGATTTGACATATGCGTCTCTGTGTTGATGTGGTATGGTAACCTGAACTTATGTACATACGTACGAAGTTCCACGTTGCAACTGACTGACTGACTAATGAATTTTCTCCAGGAAGTCAATCATTGAATACATTTGGATTGATAGTTTGAATCTTCTCATTGATAGTTAAGATGACTATTGATCAAACTCATTTGGCAAAGGTGCAACCTATGTGGATTGCCTCGATCTAGCCATCAACTTACAAATATCGTGATCATAGATGGAATCCAGAACGTGTGTTTCATCTGATTTTAGACTCCTCAACTAAATGCGCCTACACCTGAGAGTTAGTAGTCATCCCGGGACTCGAATTTATTGCATAAGCCGGTAGCCATCTGGACTTATACTAGCTAAGTGGATATCGCAAAGGCGTTTGAAGTGTGAAGGGCACTTGGTTCGAATCCTGGAGTCGACATCAATTCTAGAATTCAAGTACATCCAGCGGCTGAATTGTAAATAGGATGAAGCGCACGTCTTGTATTCCACTGTTAACTATTATCCATCTCTGCTTATAAAGTCAATCATTGTTTTTATCAGATGTTTACGAGTTTACTCATGCAGAAGAAATCAAAGCATTCTTAAAAGATAGTATTGAAGTTAAGATTTGGAATATTCTCAAAATATACAAGTCATAAAATTTACATTGAACATTTAAATCTAATATCGACCACGTGCGAGGGTCGTGGATGCACACTGCTGACGAGTCCCATACTTCGAAGAAGCAGTCATCCGGAGATCCCAAGTTTCTAATGGTGGTCTAACAATAATCGATTCGTCATTTCGATGGAACTCAATCGTCTCCATAATGAAAAATTATAGTTTTTGTTATCATTGTTAACGTCTTGAGAAATGCATTCATCAGTATTCACTCTTCTTATTCGCTAATTCATTCTTCATTCATGTTATTCAACCATATTTTTATTTTGATTACTTAATCTGACACATATTACTTACGTGTACATTTATTCAAGTGAACACTTCATGTTAATCATCCTAAATATTAACGATTTAAATTACAAATAATCTGAAATTCACATGCGATAATTATAAATGATGCGATGTGCTCTGCCTTAAACCTGGTCAACTTTTCGGATTAATAATTATGAAATGTAATCGTAGAATCTGAAGAGATATTATTGAAAGGAATACTCTTGGTTCATGTATATCTGTGTTTTAATGTGATGAGAAATTTCGATGTATATTATATATATGCATATTCTTTTCGGAAAACTTGACTTAACTCTAGCTATCTCAGAGACCATACTTTTGAGAACATGAGTGATTATAAACTGTGAATTTTAAGTCTTTACAGTACAATAGTTGAATGCAAATTCTTGCTTACTGAAAATTACATTTTGCTTATCCTATAAAAAAAAACTGATTTCATTCTTACGTGACGGTGGAAATAAAACTGCGACTAGAATAAAAATAAAGTTGAAAAATAGTAAACCATTTTAATAATAATCTTAATAATAAAATGACTTAAATCATGAATGAATCATTTTTAGACCACCATTAGGAACCTGAAGGCACTGGATGGCCGTTTCATCGTAGTATGGGACTCATCAGCAGCGAGCATCAACATCCCCGCGGACGAACATCTAACCCAGAACCTTCGATTTTGCGCACCTCTTGACTACTGCGCCGACATCCATGGGTGTTAATATCTAACTTCAATGCTGCAGAGGTCTAAGTGTTCATATGTAGGACCGAATGTCCTGGGTTCGGTTCGTGTTCGCGGGGTCCCAGATACGCATTTTGCTGAGTCTCAAACTATGCTGGAATGGCTGTTCAATAATTCATGGCCATTCACCTATAAAAGTAATACAATCTCCTCAGCTCGCCTTCATCAATTTCATACTTACTGTATGTATTCGGCAATTTTCTATTTCTATTTTCAGATGCTCACTGGAGCATTCAGGCAACGTGACTATCAAATGATTGGTCTGGCACAATTTTCATTTGAACAATTTCTTACAGCAGCATTTTCAGTTGTTATATAATAAAATAAACTTGCAATTTCAAAATGAGAATAATGGTATCAAAACATTTTATTCTACAAATCACAATTGAATTTTGTTGATTGTTTTTTTTTTTGATATTTTCATTTTCTTTATTATGATAATCAGATTTTGCCAAAATAACAAAAAAAAGAATTGTTTCTAATCGAT